TATTTTATTAATAAAGATTCACAGATAAACATAGGTAGTCAACCATGTTTAAAGAAATCAAAAATCACAAGAAAGGAGTATTGCAATTGTTGTGTGCAATTGATTTTTTGAAGCTGAAACTTCCCAAATAAGTCTTTATTTGGGGAAACTTCCCAATCAAATCTTTTCATATTAAAAATAAAGGTGATTTCAGATATAGCACTATTCTCAAAGACTTCATATCCACCTTTCACATAGTAAGCAGAATCTTACTTTATTTTTAAATTGAAAGTTTCACTGATTTCTGGTATGTATGTGATGATGCAATTTCAATTCAGTTTTGTCTCAAGTGCTAAAACAATTTATTTTATTAAGGAAATTATCAGTTGAACTGTATAATACTATTGATGCATTCTGTAGATGATATCATAACTTTTTACCAATGGTTTAAAATTTCTCATTATTTATAATTCAGCCATGTAAATAGGCAGTCTTAAGATAAAATCATTTTTATTAAATTTAAAATTTCATTGATAAAATTGTTAGATTAGTGTCATAATTTTATAGAAAAGAGAAGAAAGAGAAATTAGTTAGTGACAAAATTTATTTTAAATGATATAAGAAAAAATAATAGTTCTGCTTGAATTATTTTCACTAACATACTTTGATGTAATGAAAATTTAGAAAGAGAAAATATGAAAAAGAGTAAATATCTGTTGCAATTTCTGTATATCTGTTTGCATTTGTATTATTTTAGTGTACAATTTAATATAGATCATAGATGTTAAACAATATATCATCATTAACATAAAAAATCAAAAACAGCACAATTTTTCTTATTTTTCTGTTTTCTTAGTTTGAAACAAGTTTATGAATTTTTTATTCAGTTTAATGAAATTGATATTATAAAATTGATATTATTTGGATTTAAATATCCTAAACTATGATTTAACAAATTTATTTATTACATAAATTTCTTTTTATGATTTATTGCTTCAATTTAAGATGCTCAAAATTTCAAACTAACTGATCCAATGATTTTATCTGTATTAGAACCAGATTCAGTTAAAACAATCATTTTAACCTATTGATATATATGTACTAAAAGATATGATTATTATCTGCAGATAAAAAGTGGCCATTTGCCTGCAGATAATAATAACTACAAGGTCTGTTCAAAAAGTATCGGACCTTTTTTTCTTCTGCGTAAACCAATGATGCGCGAGAGGCCTCCTTTGGTGGAGTTGTGGAGGGGACAGTCATGCACAGCCCTGAATTTTTTCCCGCCTGCAGGAAGCGTCAGTCGTTGGCAATCGACCTATGAGTGAGGTCATGTAGTGCGCTCTCGTCGGATTCCACTAAGCTGGAAAATGACTGAACAACGTGAGCAGCGATATTACATGAAATTTTGCCAAAAAGCTTGGCGATATCCAAGTGTAAACCATTCACAAGATTCAGCAGGCTTTCGGGGACGATCCTCGAGGCCAAAAAAAGCGCGGCAGGTCCGCAGCAATATCAAAGGTCATGTTGACAGTTTTTTCGACACTCATGGGGTGGTGTGTCATGAGTACGCACCACAAGGCCAAACCATCGCAAAGGAGTACTACCAGGAGGTCCTTCGTCGTCTTTCCGATACAGTGCGACGCAAACGACCGGATCTGTGGTCGATCAAAACTTGGCAGCTCCATCGTGATAATGCATCCACCCATTCTGCACATCTGATTCGGGCTTTTGTCACCAAACACAACACTCCTGTGGTTCGTCAGGCTCCGTACTCTCCCCACATGGCACCGTGTGATCTTTGGCTATTTCCCAAGCTGAAAATGCCTCTAAAAGGAACCCGAATTTAGTCGAGAGAAGACATCGGGCGAAATCCGACGGACCAGCTGATGGCCATTCCAAAAGATGCGTTCCAGCAGTGTTTCCAGCAATGGCAGGAACGCTGGGAGAAGTGTATACACTACCAAGGAGACTACTTTGAAGGGGATTAGGGTTTTGTACCTTAAAGTCAATAAATTTATTTTTGCCGACCAAAGGTCCGATACTTTTTGAACAGACCTTGTATAACAAAAATTCTGATTATAATAAGCAAAGTTCTATAATTGTTTTACAACTTGTTTTGGGACATGCTAATTCTGATAACATTAAACAACTGATAAAAATATCTGTGATTGCAATAAGCAGATTCTACTGGATTTATAATCTCTACAATTATTTTCTCCAATTTATTATTTGTTTTTTAAAATACTGAATACCTGTATTGAAATATAATAATTTTTACATTTAAAACATTTAAAATACCTATGTTGTTTTTATTTGAAAAGTTAAGTATCATTAAATATAAAATTGCAACTATGTCAAAAATATTTTTTTAAATTATTATAAATAAATAAATGGAAATTTTGAATAAAGTATCATTTGTTGTTTTTTATAACTTTTCACAGTATTATTCATTATATTTCTGACAGCATTTGCTAATATTGTCCCATTGAATTCATTTAGGGCAATTTGTCTTAATACAGTTGGCTCTAAATAACTTGAATTAGAAGGGATAGCAAAGAATTTTTGAGTTATTAGACTTATGGATGATATATTTTTATTATTTCTTACACACATATATAAAAGAACAAAATGTGCTACTAGTGAATGAAGTTTGATTTCAACAATCCATTGCTTTCTGCTTAAGTGTTTACAATTGCCTCAAAAGCATCTTATTTCACATGTGATTTCTCTAGAAATCATGTTTCACTTATGTGTAACACGGTTACTTCTAACTCTCTTCAAAATTTGAAAGGAGAGCATTATCTATAAAATTTAATTGGCTAATTTAAGATTAAGAATAATGTTGTTACTTTAGGTGTAAATATCCTTAAAATTTTTATTTGGTTTTTTTGGATTTTGGCTCTGGAAGCATAACCACAAAAAAGCTAAACAAGTCATAAATTTGTAAAAAAGCCAAGTAAGTACATTTTAATTTTACATAATTTGAGCAAAATTTTTCCATTTAAACTGATATTAAATGCCATAGTAGCATTCTATACATGTAAAGGAGAGAAGAATGAAGAGTTGATTCAAACAGACAAAAAGAGATGACAGTTATATTTAATTTAGATTTAGTTAAACAGTTTAAAAGTTTAAATTTATAAATATAATTTATGCAATAAATTATTGATAAAGTTGGTTAATCATAGATTTGACAAGGGGTCTATCTGAAGGGCCAGGAGATACTTTCAGTGCCTTCCAGATATGATTGTAACTCTTGATGGGGTCATACTACTGAGTCCCTAGTTGGTCATGATTGCTCTTTACATCTTTATAATATAGCAAAATTGAAAAAAAAATGAGAGGGAATATGCTGATTAATTTTCAAAATAGCAGATTGTTTTAGGCTTGCATTTTTTTTATGGAAGCACAAATCACACTGGTCAAAAATAGCTTTTTTTTTTTTTTTTTTAATAATCGGTGGGAGTCTGCTAGGAGTGTGTGAACTTACAAATATTATTGAAGTTCAAGTTTAATCTTGTTTTTAGGTTTAGAAAATGTTTTTTTCAGATGATATACTTTTTGATTCATCTGGACAATATAAAATTATAATTAACATGCTCACTGTATTTTATATTAATAAAGCATCATGTATTGATGATATTTTTTTATCAACTACCTACTGCTAAATAATGATAGAGTTCAGCATTCAAAATGACCAGAGCTAGCCCACATTAGTGCTGGAGCCTATGGCATATCCCAGTGATATGATTTAAAGACCTGGAGTGAGATTATTCATTGGCTGACAGGAAGGACTTGCCCTTTTGTAAGTCAATGAATGATTATTATTTTTTTCATATTTATTTCATGAATGAAGCTCTTGCCAGTAAGTTCCAATTGGAACCTACTGGCAGGACCTTTATTCATTCAAACTATTATTGAGGAAGGCTTTGTGTCAACTCATCAGTAATCTTGTGGGTCTTCTCCAAAGCCAAGTATATCAAGAGAAAAGTTGAAGAATTTAACTATTTTTCGAGGTGTTTATTGTAACAAATTTTCAAATGATCAGTACAGTTTGAATGATATAGCATATGTAAATATTACTATTAAAACTCCAAAGAACATAACTATGCAACATACGTAACTTTGAATCATGAATATATTTTGAATAGTGTATATTGATTACATTATTTTTCATATTTATCAATTTAATCTAAAGACTCATATGAGAAATTGTATGTATAAACATCATTATAATTAAATATTACAATTATTAATTTTAATACAAGATGGCACCTGATGCCTCCCTCTAGTGTCAAATTCATTTGTAATTCTTAATTAATATTTCCAAATTATAGCCTGATTATTTATGGTAGTTGTGGGTGTCTATTTACATTTGATATTTCTCATATGAGTAGAGAATTTTTATATGAGTTATTTGTAAATGTTACACACCATTTAACAATAAATTACAAAATCCTCAATTTAAAATTGGGAGCTCTGTGATGTTATTTTAAAATTGCCTATTTCAATCATGTAATTTGAAAATCTGCTATCTTCAAATTACAGATTCACATTAATAATAGTTAATATATTTCTCCCACACAATTTTTTATAGTTTCTTTATAATAATGTTAAATATGATTGTAGGTATGACATCTACAATTTTTTTAATAAATTATTGATAACTTATTCCATGTATTTTGTGATTTACTTATATATGCAGATATGTTGTGTTTATACATTACATAATAATAATTATTATTGTAAAAAATTATTTAAACTATTTTAATAGAAATGACTCTTAGACCTTGTTCATAAAACTTGAGTGTGTGTTTTTATGATATATAAATGTCTGTGTGTGTTCAATATACAAAATTTTGAAAGAATTATAATTAATTTATAATATTTAGAATATTCTGTACTTTACTAAGTTATTGTTTATATCAATATTTTCTCTTTTATGTGCATATTAATTGTAAAATTTTTATGATATTTCTTTTGCTATAAATTGGTTAAAATAAATTTTAAAATTGCAGAAATCTGAATGGATGACAACTACATGTAACCATGCATTGTATGCCATTGTTGATGTATTTACCCAGTATTATAGTGTCTTAGGAGATCTTCTTTTAGACGATTTATATAGTCAACTCCATTGGTGTGTTCAGCAAGGTAAAATAAATATATTAATATCACAATAGTTATAAGTATTTTATAATTAAGATTTTTATAATGACAATTTTTAATGAATTTGCAAATTTATTAAAAATAATTTAAGTCAGAAATTACAGGTAAGAAATTTTAGAATTTAACAATTAAGAATTTTTTATTCACTTCATTATTTTTTGCACAAGTGCTATCTTCAGAGATTATAAAAATGTGAGATCTAAAACAGATAAAAACAATAAAATTATTAGGTAAAATAACAAAGCATTCTTTATTAGTTAAGAGTGTACAACTTATATATTAACATAATGATTACAGACAATTAACAAGATAATAAAAGTGGTTAATGCTTATAATGATTAATATATAGTTTTCATATTGAATATTGGGAATAATACAAATAATGATTGCAATTAATGTTTGTTTTTATTCACTTTTGAAGCTAGTTGTTTCATTCTAATGAAACATAGTTCTAAATGTGAAAAAACTTAAATTTAGAAACATTTTTTTTAACATCATTCAAAGATGAAGTGATATAAAAATGACTTGCAAAGGTTGCTTTTTTGTTATAAGTATTTATGATATATATTGAATGAGTACATTCTGACATTGACATAAAGTATAGCAGGGATGGCCAACACGTAGACCGCGGTCAACCGGTTGACCACAAAGGTTTTGAAAGTAGCCCACGAAGCTAAAGTTGAACAATTTGCTTTCACTTAAATTAATGTTTAAAAATCTTAATTCAATAATTTATTCTTACAATAATAAACTGTCTGTGCAACGTACCAATACTGTTTGTATTTATCCCGATGAACAATGCAAATGAATGTTAATGCATGTGCATAGTTTCTAGAATGTTCAAATGGCAAGAGACAAAAGGTTTTGCCATCAATATTAAATTATTCATGAGAAGTCATGTTTTAATTGTTGAACTTATGCAATTTATTAAGTTACACAGTTTCATTTCTAAACATCCAAACGATCGCCTAAATAACGGGCTATAATATGGCTACTTTATAAGTAGCCATATTATAGCCCGTTATTTAGGCGATCGTTTGGATGTTTAGTATGTATACCAATCGGGCTTTATGTTGATGTTATTTACAGTTTCATTTCACTAGAAATGTCTGCCACATCTGAAAAATGGTAACATTTACATAAAATAATAAAAAAAATACCAAACTTTGTTTAAGACACACTTTGTAATATATTTAAGTTTGTATTAAGCATAAAAATGGCTTTCTGAATTTTTTTTGTATGATAGCTAATCATACAAAAATACAAATTGTATATTGTAATCATATGATTCATAGCTTGCATTATTTTTGTCCAATACTGTGACATACAAATGTATGTCACAAGTATGTGGGTACTTGTTGCTAAGAAAATACATTTTGCATTTTTTTAGCAACAATTTTTCACTGTGATGGTGACCAAACTAACAAAAGTTAATAAAGCATTTAAAACTTTTTAACACAATAAAATCAATACAGTAAAAATACAAATAAAATGTAATTTTGTGCCACTTTGACTTCTTATATAATTATAATTATTGACACCAATTTTTAAAATATATTGGATGGACACAAAGTGAGACTTAACTGGTTGTAAAAATTTGAAAGATAAAAATAAATATAATTCAATCAAACCCAGTGTTAATATTAAATATTTGCTTATGAAAACATTTAGATTAAGGTACAAACTATAATTATATAATATTAAATTATTAGTGTGTTTTAGTAACAACAGTTAGTTCAGTTTTAAATTGCCATTAAAACAGTATGATATTCTAAAGAAAAATTAAAATGTACAGTACCTGTAACCTGTGCACCTTTATTTTACTAAATTAAAATATTAAGACTATAAACTACTACTAATATACTAAAGAATGGTTATTTATCATTAGTGTGTGTTATGTTACAAATGTGTTTTTCCTATATAATTCTTCCTACACATTCATCATTGATTTCTTCCAGATCCAAATTTTCAATGTTGATCTTATTCATATTCAAAATAGCTCAGTGATTTCATAAAACAAACTGTCAAACTGCAGGATAATACTTTTGAAGTATATTATCATATAAATGCTTCTAAACTACAAGAAAATTATTCTGCAGGCCCAAATTATTAGGTGGACCCTAAGTTCCACAAGCCCATATAAGTTGGTACAACTCACTGTAACTTATTATTATATGTTTAATTATATTATTGTAAACATATAATCAACTACATTTATATTTTAATATGCTTAAATACATTAAAAAGTTACTTTTTATTATGCATAAATTATTTTTTATTAAAATCAAAAATATAATCAGTAATGAAAAAAACTAAAATTATAAATCTTTTATATTACACAACTGATATTATTTATTTTTCGTTATTGATTAATTGATGATTTCTGTGATTAATGAAGATTTACCATGTGTTCACTTTTTAAAAATTTGTTGCACATAACACATACAAAGTTTATTAAGGTTTTATTTTTTTTTACATTTTAGATAAGCCTATTTAAAATACAACATAGAAATTGAAAATTTATGATGAATAATAATGAAAGAAATGAACAGAATATGTTCATTTTTTCATTTTAAATAGAAAATATGTTTTAATCTCATTCTTTAGATGGATAAAAATTTTTGCTTTATTTCATATATATGTTCTAGTATTTTTAACTGTTTGATACAATAGAGCATCGATTATCCGACAAAATTGGGGACTGGGGTTGGTCGGATAACTGAAAAAAACAGATAACCAAAAAGTATGAAAAAATACATTATTAGTATAGTATATTAGTTATATTAGTATATCCCATATAATTAGTATATTAGTATATCACTATTAACCTACTTCGTGTTGAATTTTCATCGATGTCAAGCCTAACAAAATTTTTTAAAATAATAATTGTTGCTATTGTATCATTAAAAATTATTTTTAAATTATTTTATTGCTCACAAAACAAACAACCACTCATAATTAGGAAATTAAGCCTCATTTAAATACTGGCCTCCCTTTTATGATCGAGCCAGTGTTGCCAGCTAAAACACACAAAAATTTAACAAAAATAATAATAAAGTAGCCAAGACATAGCTAAATATTGTAGTGCCACATCCCTAGCAGACATTTGAATTTGACAACTAGAACGCGGTCGGTTAACCAATGTGATGGTTGATTGGGGGTCGGATAATCAATGCTCTACTGTATTATTTTTAATATTTTTCAAGATACAAGGTCTGAATGCAGGATCAAATCATGTTATATGTAAAAAGTATATATTTATTTACACAATTTTAAATTATATTCATACTGATATAACTTCATACATAATTTTTTAAATCTATATTTTTTTACTTGAAACATTAATTATTAATTTATTTGCAATACTTTTTTTTATAAATTTTTCTATTATATTAAAAATTGATTTAATCTGAAATGTATGAAAAAAACATTAAAAGTTCTGTTAATCATCATAAATAAATACAAAGGAAAAAAGTTCAGTAAAAAATTTCAATATTTTAAATAAAAAAATTTTTAAACAATTATTTTGATTATCAAACATCTTTACTATACCCGATAGAATTAAAGCTATCCATCAACCAAAACCAAATATTATTGGGCTAGGAATGGCTATAATACTAATAATTTAATAGACAATTTGGGATTAGAGTTAGGCTTTAGGTGCCATCTCTTGATAAATTTAATAATTATAAATTAATTAAATAATTTAAATAATAATTTAGAATTACTGGAAGAAAAGAATCAGCCCGAAGTGGGACTTGAACCCGCAACTCCTGCTTACCATGCAGATGCGTTGTCAATTATGCTACACGGACCTTCAGTCCGATCTCCTCTTCTAGCATATATAAGCTAATGATTCAGCTTTGGTTGATGGATAGTTTTAATCGTATCTGGTTTGGTTTGGTTTGGTTTGGTTTGAAAATGTTAAGAAGGCCGTACCAGTGGCTTAGCCTTTGAAAAGAAGTAAGAAGTGGAAGGTATATGGTTTTGGTTGAAGATGTGGCAAGAAAGATAGGAAAATGTGAAATAATGTTTTATGGCCAGCCAGCATTGGGTCCCATATATTGAGATCATAGAGTAAAGTATACATATAGTGGGTCAAGGCCCAGTTAATACCGAGTATGTGCTTTGTTCTTGGAGTAAATACATTAAGAATAATAAAAATAATAATGATAATAATAAGATAAAAATAAAACATTGAGGAAAACGAAGTATGAACACGCAAGTTATAGAAGTTTATCCTGACAATTGATTGTGGCGGAAGACAATGAGAAAATAATAATAATAATACATAGGATGTTCTCCAACCTTGGAGTGTATATAGGATGTTCTCCAACCTTGGAGTGTATACATTAAAAGAAATAATAATAAATGAAAATAAGAATATAACATTAAGAAAAATGAAAAATTTACATGCGAGGTACAAACTTTATCCCAACAATTGAATGTGGTGGAAAACAATGAGAGGAGATCACGACAACAGAACAGCAAACACAGTGATTTCACTGCCCTGGAAGTCTCTTTAGATCTAACAGCTGACTTGCTACAGGTAATAGGAGGTGGATTCCCTTAGACGGGCTCTCCTTTTACAGAACCAGAGGTCAAAATCCTGTTGACGTGAGAAAGAATAAATTATAAAAACACATTTCACGAGGAGGGCATGTGTAGATTAGTTGTGGGCCCCCATAGGGGTAGATGGTCGTTGGCTTAAAGCTGGACTATAGTAAAGATGTTTGATTAGTTATATATGCCTTACCGGGGTTTGCGATGGCTGGTTGAGTGCCTTGGGAGTTGCTTGTCGTGGGCACTGAATGTGTCCCCAGCTAGCATTGTAATAACCATCGATGGTTATATCGTTAGCTTATATGTGCTGGAAAGGGAGATTGGACAGAAGGTCCATGTAGAGCAATTGGCAATGTATCTGCATGGTAAGCAGGAGTTGCGGGTTTGAGTCCCGCTTCGGGCCGATTCTTTTCTTCCAGTAATTCTAAATTATTATTTAAATTATTTAATTAATTTATAATTATTAAATTTATCAAGAAATGGCACCTAACGCCTAACTCTAANTTAACTTGGGTTCCAGGAAGCAGAGATGGCACACAATATCCTGTTTCACAAAATGAAAAACCATTTATTGAAAATGAAATAATCTTGGTAAGTTATACAAATTGAAAAAAAATTAAGTTTATATGCTGCTTTAAAATTAAAAAGAACATTAAATAATAAATTAGTTATATTTTAGCAAAATCCTGTTTTAAGTGTTATGAATATCAGATAAATAAGAAAACAATTTAAAGTTTCTAATTAAAATATATTTACTGCTAGGACTTTTGATTGATGATACCTTTGATAAATATCATCTTTTCCAGCTTGTGGAGCATATTATGTATCTCAAACATTATATCTTTAACTTTAGAACTGTGTTTGATATTTTACATATAAAACTGTGTATGATGCAAACGTATCTGTGTAACTTTTAAATGAAAAATCAAATTTGATTTTTCATGCATGGAATTATTCTCAAATCAAAATAGTTATTTCTGAAATGATTAATATTAATCTAAAAATGAATATGATTACTAAAAATATTTTTAAAAGTATTTTAGTGTATTAAGATGGAGTTATATAATCAGTATATTTTGAGTTGAACAATAAAAGATAATTGAAGATGTCAATATTAAATTATTTTACAATAAATATATTCTGTTAATATTCAAATAAATAATACATTATTCTTGCATGAATGAAAATCAGATTTGAATGAAAAAAATTTATATCTGAACATGTTGATTCAATAAGTAAATCATTATTATTAAATGAAATTTATCCAATGGAAGTAATTCAAAAACAAATTTTTGAATTTCTATTGTTTAAATTTACAAAAATTTAAAACTATCTTAAAACAGAAGTTGAATAGTTTAATGTGATTTGGTTTTTAGTGTTTTTTGAAATATTCATTCTTAGTCATTTTAATATTTATAAATTAACCTTTTGTAAAATCTCTCATACCTGTTTGTATCATAATTATGAATAGCAAGATAAACAAGTGTTTACTAATAAAAGAATTAGTTCATGTTACTATTTGTTTACTGAGTGATAAAAAAAAATACAACTGAATAATGAATATATTTATGTTTAAAAAAATTGACATTTATAAAATTATTTGCTTATCAGAAATTAAAAAAGAAATAAATTTACTTAAAAATGTGTGTGCACATTCAAATTTCATGAAAAAATTTTTATTTTTACAGATAATGAACAATTAGCAAGATCTGGAACAAATTGTTTGGAAAATTTAGTTATTTCAAATGGAATGAAGTTTTCAAGTGATACTTGGAACAAAACATGTGATTGTATGTTGGATATATTTAAGACAACTTTACCATTTTTGTAAGTAAAAAACTAAAATGTATAACATGATACAGTCAAATCTACATATTATGATCACTTTGGGATTTGCCTATACTGATATTAATAACTGATTAATTACTTTTCTTAATGTTATCAATGGAAATTCTGCCATTAAAAGAATACATGAAACAATTAAAAGTATAACTTTAGAAGATTTATTAATTATAATCAGTACTATTATTACTTACTAATAATTCATTCAGTGTTTTTTGCTTTTTGTTTTTTGCAATACCATCTTTAACAATAACTAGCATATAATTGAAATAAGAAATGCCAGCGAATTAAATTACTTCACTGTGAACACATAACGATTAAACTGATTAATGTTTAATGTTTTAACCGTGGTAAGATTGGTAACAATTTCACATTATCAGACACACATTGAGACTAACAGTACAAAACACAGTACACAGATTAAAAAATACATGAAGCTAATAGTAACTGTTATTAAAATTCTGATTACAATAAACAAAGGTTTACAAGTTTATTTTAGCTTATATTTATCTCAGTGGTTCAATGTTTTTTATTTTCTTTTATTTTCTGACTTAGGAACTACTGAATTAATTTTCAGAACAATTTTTAGTAAACTTAGTTTTACAAAATCTCTTTAAAAAGTAAATATAATGTAAGACACTTTTTTCTTTCTGCAAAATGCATTTCAGATCTAAAGTCCCACATCAGTTGTTTTTTAAAGTGCCTGTGAACTATATAATGTTTTATATAATAAAATACAGTTTAACATTTTTATATATTTAAAGTTACATTCTAACTTCTGTGTATACTCATAATGTGGATTGATGAATCTTTGTTATTTACATATTAGTATAGTCTCCAATCTATAGGATGGAACTGTAATAAGTGTTAAAATAAATTACAAACCTAAAACCCACAATAAAAATTGCAAAAAGTAAAACTTGAGATAGAATGACACCATGTACTACAACAAGCATTAAATTTTAAATGTAAGTGAAGCAATTTTGATTATAATATAATTTCATATGCCCAGTCCAGAAAAAGGTTGTTATAACTTTAGTAATTATATTAAAAAAATTAAAGCAGTTTCTTGAAGAAATTGATCAAAATTAGAACAAGGATTATATTTAAAAATTGCTCCTGAAGATGAATTTTATATATGCTGAAAACAGAGTTTATTAAAAGCACGTTGATTAATTATTTAAAAGAATATTAACATCAATAGACTGAGTGTATATTACTTCATTACATTTATATAATGTAGATTGACTTTCAGTGTAAATTTTAAATTTCTCCAGTAAAATTTTCAAAATAAATATAATTTCGCAAATAAAATTTATTTTGTTTATTTGTTTTTCAAATATACATTTCATTTTTTTGTTTTTAGGTTATTAACTTGGGTTCCAGGAAGCAGAGATGGCACACAATATCCTGTTTCACAAAATGAAAAACCATTTATTGAAAATGAAATAATCTTGGTAAGTTATACAAATTGAAAAAAAATTAAGTTTATATGCTGCTTTAAAATTAAAAAGAACATTAAATAATAAATTAGTAATATTTTAGCAAAATCCTGTTTTAAGTGTTATGAATATCAGATAAATAAGAAAACAATTTAAAGTTTCTAATTAAAATATATTTACTGCTAGGACTTTTGATTGATGATACCTTTGATAAATATCATCTTTTCCAGCTTGTGGAGCATATTATGTATCTCAAACATTATATCTTTAACTTTAGAACTGTGTTTGATATTTTACATATAAAACTGTGTATGATGCAAACGTATCTGTGTAACTTTTAAATGAAAAATCAAATTTGATTTTTCATGCATGGAATTATTCTCAAATCAAAATAGTTATTTCTGAAATGATTAATATGTATATTTCAATTATTATAATATCTATATAAATTATTATATTTTAATTGATAGTTGAAACTATTCAGTATGTAAAAAATCCAATCTAATTTTAAAGTTGAAGCTATTATGTTTGAGATATTATTATACTTGTATTGCTCTTTTTTAAAATTAAATAACTTGTTAAAAAGCATGTTCAATTTTTAGAGTCAGTTGTAGATTAAAAAAAACACTATGCATTTTTGAAATTGTTTTATTATTAAATATTTAAATTAAGATGTCTTGTATATAATGTATTTTTCCAGTTATAACTGTATTTTGAAAATTATATAATTCAAAAAGAGAAAAGGAATTTTCTTTTAACTTATTGTAACATGTAATTAAAATTAGTGATTTAAGTATAAAATGATGATTACATAAACAAACATGATTACAGTAATTTGGACTCTTAGGCAATTAATTAGAGCCAAACAATTTTACTGAATAATCAGACTATGTTTAGGCTAAGTAAATAATTAGTTACTAATTAATTTAATTAGAGCTAGGTGGTTATGCTGTCATCTCATATTAATTTTAATATCTCTTTCTTTCATATTAAATTTCTTTGAGAAATTTCTAAATGATGATTAATTTATTATAATTATTATGAGATGACAGCATAACCATCTACCTCTAGAAATTATTAACTAATTATTTACTTAGCCTAAAAATAGTTTGATTATTTTGCAGGATCATTTGGCTCTAATAAATTAATTCGGGTTAAGTGTTGATGTTATTATATAGACAGGCAATTGAGTTGCTGTTAAATTTTTTCTTCTTCAGATTTCTCTTCCAAAATATTCTAAATTAATTCATTTAATTCTAGTTATCAAGATAGTGACTTAATTGTGTACCCTTAGTCCAAATTACATAATACAGTCAAACCTGTTAAAATCTTAATAAAACAGAAATCTGCCTAAGGAAAAATTATTTGGACGGATTGATTTTCTATGTTACATTTTACTGTAAGTCTGAAAGCTGCCCAGTATAGAAACAGAAGAGACTTTGGGTATGAAGAACATAATTTAACCTGGATAAAGTAAAAAATTAAAATGTCACTTGTAAACAAATAAGTAAAATCTTCTCTAGGCATAAAGAGCATCACAAAGCATGACAAACTGTATTCTGGGAATGATTTTAAACTTTGTTAGAGAAACAAAGGTCATAATGACCAAGATCTTTGTTTAATTAACCATGTGTAGGATTGAATGCTTTTTGGAATTAAATTTGCTTCTGAGAATCCAGTTCTTGAGAATCAGCAATGAATATAATTCTTGAAAATAATGAAAATAAGGTAACACAATGCTGCTAATTTGCTTGTATGGAGTAGTTAGTAACTAACTAGTACCAAGTATTTGAAAACAAGTTAATATATTGATAATTATGGAGATTGAAGTAAAGGATTAATTAAAGTATTAACATTCCTCAAAAAGCTAGAACACAGAATAAACTTGGTTTCTTTATCACTGTAATGCTATCAGAAGTTTTGACAGCAAAGCAAACCACTAGTTTTTGGTACTTGAATTGGCTTGTTCACTCTCAGGTGAACTCATAAGGATTGTATCTGAGAAGTATTCAAATACCTGGTGCACGCAAGTTCATGAGAATAACAAGAACTTTTTGTAATCAATTACAAAAAGTTATCAATTTTTTATTTGAATACTCCCATTTTGCTTGGAATCACTTTGAATTAATTTGGATTAATTTTTTTGTGTGTGTAAAAGTAATTTTACTTTAAAAAATGAACATAATTGTGTGACAATTATCTAGTGTAATTTAAAGATTAAAAAATATATACTAAAACATGTTCAAAACAGAAAAAAATATTTCAGTACTGTGTGATTTTAGTTTACACAGGTTTTACTGTATCTATATATTTAATTAGTCAGATTACATCTTGATAATAAATCCAGCATTATAATTTAATCATAAATGTGACTTTTTTATTTTTGAAAAATCAATTGAAATACCTGAATATGATGATTTTTTTGAAATACCCAGGCAATAAAAGTTGGTATCCAGACATAGAAATTTTCCCACTATTCAGCACTGTAATTAATTATAATTTAATTGATGGTGTATTAAGTATTTTCAAAGCTTTATATTTATATGTTAGAATTGTGTTTATTTTTTAAAATATTATTATTATTATTATATATTCATAATTTTATATTGAACAGCAATCAAATGGAAATCAAATTTTACCTGATGGTATTGAAAAGAAATTGTTACAAAGTGGAATGAATGAGTCATCTTTAACACGTATGTTTATTTACTATTATTTATTCACTAGTGTTAAATATTTTTAGAAATAGACTGAAATTAATAAATTATAATTATTGATTTTATGTAGCATTTACATGAAATAGTTGAATTTAGAAAATATTTTATGAGTGTATTAAATATGTTATTTATTTATCAGTCACATTTTTTCAAAATAAATTGCTTTACTAGCAGCTGATCAAATTTTAAAAAATAAACTATATTTTTTATTCTAAATTTCTAAATTTAAAATGTTTTATTGTAAATGTATTTTTTAATTTACTATAAATGCATTTGTTCTATTTTCTTATAAATTATAACATTTGAATGTAATATTTAATTTTTCTATCTGCTTTATGCAAAGATTATATCTAGATTATTTTGAACAAACTAATAAGACATTTATAATAATTAATAATTTTCATCTAATGAAGCAAAAGAAAATTAGCACCAAAAATTGATTGGATAGTAAGAAATAAGATTTAAACCAGTTCTGTATTCATTATGGATGCCAACTTTTCATGAAACAATTACCTGTAATGCTCTCCTTTATGGAAATGGCTTTGTTTTTTACTGTATGTTGCTATATTTATTCTAACTCTGAAAATCATAATGAGAAAAAGTGTATTTTAGCAGAGATGGAAATAAATTAATTGATTTAGTTTACATTTCAATAATGAAATCAAATACGTGAATAATGTTATAATGTCTATAAGATTTTCTTATCTACATCAGAAAAAATTTATATAAATAACACAAACAGAATTAAATAAATCAAACATATGATAGAGAATGTTATAACAAAAAGAGAAATTAGTTTTTACAGTTTATAACAGCAATTTTTTCATCCCAAAAAAGCTAAGTGACAGTTATTAATGAACTAATCATTTTGCAGAAAAATTCTTATAAAAAGAAATAATTAGATTTAAAAAACAAATTAGATAACAGATGATTATAGAAAATGAATAGTTTTTCTGCAGCTTAGAACCCATAGGTATACTTAATAAAACATGGTTTATCAGAGTTTATGTTACAAGTTAGAGTAGTGGTTCTTAACTTATTTGGACTCATAGGACACTTCTACAATTATGTAAAGATTGTATGAGTCACACACTCCAGTGCAAGAGTTATTTATAGGCCCCACAAATAATACAGCACTGTGTCAGTTGTACATAACTAGATCCACTGCTGTGTGATATGTAGCTTATACAAAGTCCTGAAATGCAGTTGATAATGCATAGAATTATATTTTATTAATATCATTATATTTTAGTTTATTTTCAAATTTTCAAATTTGTTATTTTAATTTTTAAATTTATCTTTTGGTTGCCTGAATGACTTTATATCATGCTAATGTGCTATGCTATACCAGTTAGAACCATTGTCTTAGAATATTTACAATTAAAAATATGGAATTTATTTCACTGTCTACAAATAGGTACAGACAATAAATGGTTAATATAGTCTATAAATATTGTAAATATATAACATTACTTTTAACTAAAAATTTATACTATATTGCCATCATTATATATGTATTGTCTGAAGATGATGTAATAAGGTCACATTCATAGTTTTCAATGTCTGCAAATTGAGCTGAGTGAGATTTATGCTTACATCTAGAATTTATTTAATGTGTTTAAAAATAGAAGCAATGATATTGGGTTAGCACTAGTATGTAATACAAACACTTATGAAAAAGTTCAAGCTAAATGAGCTTTTTGATAAGTGTTTTTATTACATCTGAAATCTGTAGATATATAACATAGGTAATTGCAGTTTTAACATTGGATTTTTTTGATGTTGTTTAGAACTTTACTTATAAAAGACGAATCATGTATGGAATTATAAAATGTTACTTGACTAAGGCAGCAGCATAACTAAAGGGGGCAAAGGTGGGCATGTCTTCAAGCACCAATCTTGGGGTGTCAAAATGAGTCTATAGAAGATTTTGTAATTAACATTTAATCAAATGCCAGTATGAGATTTGCATTTGACACTAAAACTGTTTGGCATGGCCCTGGACTAAGGAATCAAAAGTGTCACTGTTTAAAACTAAGGATGAAATATTTTTATTTAGAATAGATCATTCATAATTGATAGAAGATAAAATTATAATTTAAAATTTTATTTCGTAATTATTAAAATGTAATAAAATAATAAAACAATTTATTTCCAAGGTTCAGAAAGCAAAGATGAAAAGATATTTTTGTCATTGAAAATCAAATGTATAGTGCAACTGGAATTAATACAGACAATTGACAATATTGTTTTCTTCCCTGCAACTAGTCGGAAAGAAGATGCAGAAAATCTTGCTGCAGCCCAAGTAAGTCTAATTTTTCATAGTTTTAAATTAGATATATTTTTCAATTTGTAAATATATTTATAACTTAATAAACTGCTAAAATTATTAAATTATTATAAGTAATAATTCACTAATTTTAACTAACTGTTACTTATAAAATTATAAGTACAGTAGAGCGTTGTTTATCCGAATGCCGGTTATCTGAAACGTCTGTTAACCGAAAGCATTCCAGTCGGCAAATTTAAATTTTCGCTAGTGCTGTGGCGCTGCAATCTTTTGGCTATATCTGGGCTACTCCATTATTTTTTTTGTCGGTGTGTGTGTTTTAGCTGGCAGCACTGGAACTTTTGTATGGTGTTTTTCTAAGGACTGTGTCATGCTGAATTGAACGTTTTTGATAATAGATTAATTTCTAAAGTACAGTCGACCCCCCTATAACGTACGTTCCTATAACGACAATTCCTATAACGTAGCGAAAAAATTGTAGCAACTTTCGTATAACGTACCTCCTATAACGTCGTTTCGCGACAAGATTGATAGAGTCTGGACCAATAGTGGATGAGCAGCCGAACTACTTTCCTCCGACCCTGCGCCACGCTACGGAGCGGCTAAATTGAGTTTGCTATCGTCTGTTTAGTATTATATATAAATTATATATAAATTAGGTACTGTACATATAATTATATATTAATTATATATAAATTAGG